GGTTAGTAAGACTGCAACTCAAGGCTGGCAGTCATGCATATGCTCTGGAACAGAGTAATATTGCGTCCATATCGCAGGCTTTGCGATTAGGAAATCGCAACGTCTCAAATCGCGATTTCGATTCGATTTCGATTAATCGCACAGCCCTAGTGTGTGAGCGTGTGTGTGTTTCTGTGTGTGTGTGAGAGAGAGTGAGCGTGAGCGTGTGTGTGTGAGAGAGAGTGAGTGTGAGCGTGTGTGTGTGTTTCTGTGTGTGTGTGTGTGAGAAAGTGCGTGTGTGTGAGAGAGAGAGTGAGCGTGTGTGTGTGTGTGTGTGTGAGAGAGAGTGTGAGCGTGTGTGTGTGAGTGTGTGTGTGTGTGTGAGAGAGAGTGAGCATGTGTGAGTGTGAGCGTGTGTGTGTGTGAGAGAGTGTGAACGTGTGTGTGTGTGTGTGTGTGTGTGTGAGAGTATGTTTGTGTGTGTGTGAGAGTATGTTTTTGTTTGTGTGTGTGAGAGAGAGAGTGAGCGTGTTTGTGTGTGTGTGTGAGAGTATGTTTGTGTGTGTGTGAGAGAGAGAGTGTGTGAGCGTGTCTTGCTCTCAGTTTCTCTCATGCGATGAAAAGGCCTGTTGAGACACAGAACCTACCTGCTGTGTTCATGACGTGATCTGTGTGCTCTAACAGTGTAAGAAGCGGTTCAGTTGTGGGGAACAGCAGGTCTGGAGAGCGTCCTGAAGCTGCTTGCTGTGAAGGCCTGGCGCTGCTCTAGTGAGTCTGGGAGCAGTTTTAGCCGGAGGCACGACCATTCAGCTCTCTGACGACACTAGCTATTATGACTTGGCAGTTTATCTAGTTAAGTGCATTTGTAAGACGCTTTGATGCCAAGTTTTAGAAAAGCTTCTTTGAGACGAGTTATGACACACAAGCGTTTTACAGTTGTTTCCACTCATTTGAGCCAAACAGCTCCAGAGTGAAGCACTCGGTGGCTTTCTGAAGAACAGATGCAGCAGATAACTGCTGACGGCCTGACCACCGGCTGCATGCACTGCGCAGTGTGTAGCAGCAGCAGAGCATGAATATAACATGTCTTGTGCTGCGTTTTTGACAGCACTTGTTTTCCTTTGCGGCAGTAATTGTAATCATGAGACGGAGTAAAGTGAGTGAAGCACAGCTGAGGTACAGAACCGTGATTTGGTTTGTGCTGTCTGTGAACTCGGCCATCACTAGTACTTCCTCTAATGCTAAATATGATGTGAATGAAGTGTATGTAAATCGAATGTAAATGCTGTGCTGGTGTTTCACTGTGGGTTTATTTGCTCTCGGTCACTGTATCTGAATCTGAGTGACTGCAGCACAGTGAGCAGCGTTCGTTTGTCTGACTGGAGCCGTTATAACATGCTCTCACAGCTTCTTTGGTTTTTTGTTTAACCAATTTTGGGAGGAGCAGAGTTTATGTATGCGGTTTATACAGGCATTTACACTTAGCCGAAGGCGTCTTAAACCGCCTCCTGAAGTGCTTTGAGTGATTGAATGGTGTGTCAGAATGCATTTACACCTGCTGTTTTTGTGACCAGATAGTTATCCGGTCAGAGAAGCGTGTAAAAGTGTAAACGGGCTCTAAGTGATTAGGGTTTTCTTTCACCTGCAGGAAGACGAATGTGTTGTCGTTTGTGGAGGCTCTGTAAGCAGATGTGTGATGTCCGTCTGCTGCTTTCTCTGTGTTTGTGTGTGTTGTGTAGCAGCTGTCAGTAAGTCAACACGGCTGCTATAAATACATCTGTTCAGCTGTTTGTACTGTTGGGGACGGAGTTAAGATGTGGGGGATTTTACAAAGCTATTTTCTTCTGTTTGTCCTTTTAATGGTTGTCAATTAATCTGATCCCGTCCAGATAATCTTCATGAAGTGGCTGATGTGATTCCCTTTTTCCTGCTTTCTATCAAACCAGTGAGATGCATGCGTTTCGATTCAAGCGGTCTGTTTTGAGACATTACGTAAAGCAAACACTAGTGAAGTTGAAGATCGAAGCGTTTTCCTATTGAAGTTACACACAGGAGGGTACTGTACAGCAAATCCATGGCTGAATGGAAAGTGTTTTATTGGCTGCTGGCAGTGAGTTTGAGCAGATATTGATGTGTGAGCCAGTGAGTCTTTATGGCTGTGACATCGGCGCCGGGTTTTCCAGTCGCTGCTTTAATAGTTTTAGTATTTCATTAGAGCGACACGTTATGTCACGTTCAGTAAATCATTCATTCATTTAGTCTCTCGCTGAAAGTGTTTGGCGCCGCACGTTCTGGTAGTGTGACTGACGCTCGATGCGGACGCATGAGATTGACCAGCGAGAGCGAAGTCCTGTCAGGAACGATTTATTTCCAGAGGTGTGACCGAGCGGAAACACATGCTGAAATACTGATGCTGTGAGAGACTGACTGATAGTGACCAGCATCATCCTCTCTCTGTCACGGGCAGATGCTGCGCTTGCCATTGTCACATCAAGCCTCAGACGGCAGCCGTGAAGAGAAGCATGGCTGCTTGCTGAGGATGGTCGTCGTGAGTTTTGGCCAGCTTGCACATTTATTTAGCTGTAATGTCTTCACTGTTTTCTGCTGCTGTAAAGTGTAGTAACATTAAGTAATTTAGTGAAATTGCAAAAGTGTGGCCTGCTGCTTTTGTCACAAGAAGGTAAAATGCGTGAGAAATGCGGTGGAAGCTGTTAAAGCGACACGGAGGTGGAAGTGGCCACATGTAGAAAGACTGTCAGTCACCAGATGAGCTGAACACGTCTCATGGTGAAGCCTCTCTGTGAATCAGGTGCTGTGGTGTTTCTCCTGACTGTGAGCCATCATCAGAACATCTCGAACACCTCTACTGCAGCATTGCTTTTTGAAGTTAAATGCATCAATCTGGTGCGCTTTGAGAGTTCAGAAGGAAGAGCTCCAAACCTTTTTCAGTGTGCAGATTGAACAGAGTGGGCAGTCTTTGCTTTGACCTGTACCTGGTCTTTAAAGTGGACTCAGACCTCTTTTTAGTTTTGATATTGTGTCATGTCGAGTTCAGACTACACAATATTTTTGTCGGTCACGATAGTCACTGATTACATGATTTTGACTCCTAAAATATTGTCGTGTCATGGACAAGAAACATGTCAGACTACACGCTGCTTCCCGACCATTCATCGCGTGCCGTCTTTAATGACGCGCGTGATGTCATCGAGAAGGCGGAACTAGCGACTGACTTCTATAGCACTTCCGCTATAGTTCGCCAGCATATTCTTTCTTTGTTCTGTCGTGGTAGTCCCTCGATGACACATCATACAGGTTGCCACAGCTCCACGAACCTTTCCTCCATCTCATAATTCCACCTAGCAGCACCATCATCTCTCTTTCGTTTCGCCATGTTTGAAACCTGTGTATGAAAGAGCTTCTCTGCTGCTATTGGTCAACGTCACCAATGTGACTGAACTGGTCGTGGACAACGAGAAAAAAAAGAAAAATGCTAGTCTTTCTGTCAGGATTTCGTGAAGCATCGCAGACGCGGAATCGGTTGTCGTCCACTATGACACACTACACGAGCTGAAACGATGGAATCTTGCGTCCCGACGCCCATTGTCGCATCCAGCTCAGTTCAGTTTAAATAGTATCTTTGCAATCATTTGCAATCAAGTCAACGATATCGCTGGAAATGAAGTGTCCCCAACTAAGCAAGCCAGAGGCGACAGCGGCAAGGAACCAAAACTCCATCGGTGACAGAATGGAGAAAAAGCCTTGGGAGAAACCAGGCTCAGTCGGGGGCCAGTTCTCCTCTGACCAGACAAAACCAGCAGTTCAATTCCAGGCTGCAGCAAAGTCACATTGTGCAGAGGAATCATCTGGTTCCTGTGGTCTTGTCCCGGTGGCCGTCTGAGACAAGGTCTTTACTGGGGATCTGTCTCTGGGGCTCATCTAGTTGTCCTGGTCTCCGCTGACATTCAGTCTACCTTACATTCACACTAGTGTTTTAGGATGCCAGACAGCTGGAAGAAAATAATCACAATAATAAATAAAAATTGTTATTGTTAATCCGAAGGCCGTAATATATTGGCATAAAACAACTCCACCATAAAATAAATGTTTATACAAGTTAATATTTCATAAGTGTATTATTTGACTTTATACTACAGTAGTGTAAAATGAGAATAATTCTGTCTAAACCACCGGCTCATGCACGCTGATATGTGCAGCACAACAGACTGTATACTATACACAGCCCTTCACACTTGAGAAGGTCACTAAGCCATATCGCGCTTCAGTTTCAGTTCATTTGACAGATGGTTTGCCAAAGCTGGGCGGAAAACATAATGTTAGAGATTTATGTTATTATGAGAACCGTAAAAATCACAGGGAAAAAGGAGCAAGTCCTGACTCATTTGCGTCTTTAGACACGGGTCTGTCTCCCTGTGGCCTCGGGACCGAAGAGTCAGTGTTGCCAGATCTTGCTGGGAAAAATGGCAAACAAAAACAAGACCAAAATAAACCGAAATCCAAAGTCCGAATGCTGTATTTTGGAAATAAGACCAAAATATTGTGACCCACAACTGCCCACTTTACTCACTCCATGAAGTGGCTCACTTTATGAGCCATGTCCAAACAACAGACCTAAAGATAATAAGAGGACATGGCAACACTGGAAGACCGTGTCAGTGGTGGTTTAGTTAAAATTGCCAAACATAAGTCTTTGCTTTGCAAATGACTTTAGTCAAAAATGGTGGTTCTCAAACAGGTTAAACTAACTCTTGGAATTGTTTGTTTCTTGTTCATAGCTACAAGACAGCACAGCGTTGCAAATGGTTACCACTATGTCAGGCATGGCAATTTCATGGCAATCATTTGACTGTCCATTTGGTGTTTTCATCAAGATGGCAAGATGTTGAGTTACTTCCATCACAGAGGTCCTTGAGGAATGCCAGCGTGATTTATTTAGTGATTGTGATGTGATCTCCGCACAGGTGATGTAATGATTGTCCTGGTGTCAATAGAGGGTAAGAGCATGCTGGGACGGGCCTAAAACAACAGGTGAAGGAGCACTGGTCCCCCGGCGCCTCCGGCCCCGTCTCCATAGTGATGCTCCTCCCATGAGTGCAATGAAGGCAGCATCCCAGTGGTCACGCATTACCTTTATCACACCTGAGCTCAGTGTTTCAGGGAGTTTGTCATCAAAATGAGCTTTATATGAGATCACTAGTGATGAACCGAAAATGAGACATCAAGCAGCACAGAGCACAAGTGAACCGAATGTTGAAAGAAACAGTACAGCTTCCTGAAGTCTCTCATGTAATCACTCAGTCAGCGTTTTAAACAGCTTGTGAACAATGTCATGCAACTTAGCATTTACCACAGGAAAGACATTCAGTGTTGGTTAGAAAAAATAATTCTAGAGAGGAGCATTCCAATTAACATGCATTAAATTACATATTAAACTTTTACTTAACTTGTCTTTTATTTAATGTATGTTTGAATAACTGTCTTTTTTTTTTTTTTTTACAGCCGCCATGACACTTTTGATCAGTTTAATGTGTCCTTGCTGAATAAAATTTTTAATATCTTTTTTTTTTTTTTTTTTTTTTACAGCCGCCATTTGAATGTTTGATTTAATGATGAATTAGAGTAGAAACATAATGTTGTTTACATTTTACAAAACACACACAATCTTCTTCATTCATTTCTCATTTTATTTAGCTTGTTCCCTAATCTAGCAAACCCAACATAAACTGTAAGAAATCTGTAAGATACAAATTTTGACTAAAATGGTGGCCATCGCTCTCTGAGTGCTGCTGTTAGGGCTGGGCAATATTGCCAAAATTATCACGATAATTTTTTTCATATCCATCAATATCGATAATTATCAAATTTTAAATTGATCAAACTTAATTTTTTTCAAGTTTAAAGGCAGATTTTTGCTCCTATTTGAAATTTGGAGAAACCAGACCGTTAATGGGTCATATGATGCGATTTCAAATTTTCCTTTTCCACCATTTTCCGCAGTATGGAGCTGTCGCTCTCTGAACGCTGCAGTATGGTGGCCGTCGCTCTTCCCTAATCTAGCAAACCCAACATAAACTGTAAGAAATCTGTAAGATACAAATTTTGACTAAAATGGTGGCCATCGCTCTCTGAGTGCTGCTGTTAGGGCTGGGCAATATTGCCAAAATTATCACGATAATTTTTTTCATATCCATCAATATCGATAATTATCAAATTTTACATTTATCAAACTTAATTTTTTTCAAGTTTAAAGGCAGATTTTTGCTCCTATTTGAAATTTGGAGAAACCAGACCGTTAATGGGTCATATGATGCGATTTCAAGTTTTCCTTTTCCACCATTTTCCGCAGTATGGAGCTGTCGCTCTCTGAACGCTGCAGTATTGGTGGCCGTCGCTCTGAACGCTGCAGTATGGTGGCCGTCGCTCTCTGAACGCTGCAGTATGGTGGCCGTCGCTCTCGGAGCGCTGCAGTATGGTGGCCGTCGCTCTCTGAACGCTGCAGTATAGTGCTGTCGCTCTCTGAATGCTGCAGTGTGGTGACAGTTACTCTTTGAATGCTGCAGTATGGTGGCCGTCGCTCTCTGAATGCTGCAGTATGGTGGCTGTCGCTCTCTGAAAGCTGCAGTATACTGGTGGCCGTCGCTCTCTGAACGCTGCAGTATG